ATCAGAGTCCAAAACCACCATCAGAGTCCAAAACCTCCTCCATCAGAGTCCAAAACCTCCATCAGAGTCCAAAACCTCCTCCATCAGAGTCCAAAACCTCCATCAGAGTCCAAAACCTCCTCCATCAGAGTCCAAAACCACCTCAATCAGAGTCCAAAACCTCCATCAGAGTCCAAAACCACCTCCATCAGAGTCCAAAACCACCTCCATCAGAGTAGTCCAACACCTCCTCCATCAGAGTCCAAAACCACCACCATCAGAGTAGTCCAACACCTCCTCAATCAGAGTCCAAAACCACCATCAGAGTCCAAAACCACCTCCATCAGAGTCCAAAACCACCTCCATCAGAGTCCAAAACCACCATCAGAGTAGTCCAACACCTCCTCTATCAGAGTCCAAAACCACCATCAGAGTCCAAAACCACCATCAGAGTACAAAACCACCATCAGAGTAGTCCAACACCACCTCCATCAGAGTAGTCCAAAACCACCATCAGAGTCCAAAACCACCATCAGAGTCCAAAATCTCCATCAGAGTCCAAAACCTCTCTGTGTGTTGTCTGTATTAAAGTCCGGGGGCATGCTCGTTGGAGATGGGAAAACTGGTACGCCGATTTGTGAGAAAACCGGACTTTTCAAATGGATTCCATCGTTTTCTCTGTGAATAAACAAGGTCTTAACTCCAACATAAATAACACTTGTTTGACTAAATCGGGCTTTACTCGAGATGATTGGAGTTTACTTGGACCAAACTAAAATGTTTAAATAATACAAAAAAGCAAAATATTCTGTTGGACCGGTCTGCAGAGCGTTATCTTAAATAACTTCTAAAATATATACAATATATATTTTATAAAAAAAAATGTGTAAAATAATTTGAGAAAAAAATCGTGAATTGATTGCAGGAAAAAGTTGGAACATTTTGAGGAAAAACTCGTAATAATTAAAGCAAACATTCGTATTAAAAAAAATAAGTCGAAAAAGTCGTAATAATTGGAAGAAATGTTCGTAAATAATTAAGAAAAAATTTGTAAAATAATTTGAAGAAACATTTTTTATAATTGGAGAAAAAAAATCGTAAAATATTTGTAGAAAAAAGTTGTAATAATTGGAGGAAAAAGAGTTCAACACTTTGGGGAAGATGTTTAACATTTGGAGAAAAAAGGTTTTAAAACGACGAAATAACGCCTTCATATTTGAGGGAGACGCTGAAACGGATGGAGAGGAGTTCTGTTGGTATTTAGGGATGTTTCTTCTTCTTCTTCATGTGCTCTTATTACGGTATAGACTGCATGCTTAGACATGTTTCCTTTGGCATGCGTGTTCATCACGTGGTAGAGTATGACGTGTTGTGAACGTGTTTGCAAAAACAATAAAGAAACAACACAAAAAGAAAATAATAATATACAGCCACCATTTTCTATTCACTGTATATGAACTGATCAAATCCTCATTTCCTGTGTGTGTGTGTGTGTGTGAGTGTGAGTGTGAGTGTGTGAGAGTGAGAGTGAGAGTGTGAGTGTGTGTGTGTGTGTGTGTGTGTGTGTGTGTGTGTGTGTGTGTGTGTGTGTGTGAGTGTGTGTGTGTGTGTGTGTGTGTGTGTGTGTGTGTGTGTGAGTGTGTGTGTGTGTGAGTGAGTGAGTGAGTGAGTGAGTGAGTGAGTGAGTGAGTGAGTGAGTGAGT